AACTGTCGCCGTCAATCGGAATGCTGCTGTGTTTGCGATTCAATCGACCATCATCCAGCACTCTGCCCGTACAGTTACCACGTCGTCAGAGACATAGGACCCAGTGTCAACGCATTCTTCGACAAGATGTACGATCAATACAAGAAGTACTACGATCGCAGTCCGAAGCACTGACTGACCGGAACATCGTCGTCAGCTCGTTCATCACTTCACTTCTGTAATGGCCCTAACGTTTTGGGGATTCGGGTTTTAAACATCTTACCCCCATACAGCGTTGAGAGATCGCTGTTATCCAAAATCACACCTTTCGATTTGGGAGTTACGACCCCCCTTGCCGAATTGGCTTTAGCGAGGCTTACCATCTCTCCCTCGCATTTTGGACCCTTGACTTAGGTAAATTAACATCGTCTCAACAACATCGAGCCGTCAACGCCAAGTCATTCGTCCATCGTGCCGTTCGCCCATCGAGATGATCGCCCATCGTGCCGTCCATCGTGCCGTCCAATGTTCATCACTCGAGCCGTTCGTCACCAAAGCCACTTCCATCGTCGCAACTCCACTTCAACATCACCGTGTCCAGCAGCAACTCCAACGTCAACGTCAACAGTTCAACGTACCGGTTTCAACGTCAACGTCGTCGCCATTCCAGTTAGTAAAGTGATACATAGTTTTCGTTTTACTTTGTATATTTTTTGCTTATTTACTCTCATTTACTATGTAATCTTTATCCTCATTTAATCATGCCGTCATTTGAAGAAGTTTTTACCTAAGCTTGACCCCTATTTAACTATGTTTATACGTTCTAATCCCCTCGATCGGTTGGCAGCAGGCCCCTCGTCAACATCGTCGCACGTCAGTATCGTCGCATCTCGTTTTGGCGCCGGGAGTGTCGCGACTCTCGTCACGACCTTTTCAACGTGCAAGGTATGCGCCGATACATTCCCGTGCTCCAGCCACGTTCCCACGCTATGGAGGACGAAATACTACGCCTTCCCACGGACGCAGACACTTTCCCATGGTTTGAATGCATGCAACATCCAGAAGTGCGGGAAGTGCTCTGCATCTCTGCCTTGGCCCGCGCTCGTCTGTCAGCAGTCGTCGTCCAGTCGTCTCGCCGAGCGGTTGTGTCCGTGGAGTCCTCAGCCATGGTTGGAGCTGCCGTCAACACCATCTACGACAGCCAACGGATCGGTCGCATACCACTCCGCCGCTTATCCTTCCGATCGTGCCCGTAGGTTCTCCCATCTCTCTTATCCTTCTCTATAACGTAGTCTCGCATTCTATTGTAATATTAGTATAAATCACCTTAATACTTAGTGTTCTGTTATGTAGCAATATCTACACATCTTTAGCAGCACGGTCGTAAGGTCGTCAGATAGGGGAGAGGGCCTCACTAGGCTCGCGGCAGGCAACAGTCGTCAGAGCATTCCTTACGCGACGCATCCCCCTAGGACAGGGTGTTCGGGCCCTTCTAATACCCGTTCTGCCGTGTCCTCGGTGCTCCGCCACCGATGCGCTTCATCCACCACCACCTCGGGGCACCGGGTCGCGACAAACGCATCTTCAAATGTAACTTTTACTATACTTTAATGGTTGACCATCTTCGCACTGTTTGGATGGGGCGATTCACGTATTAACTTTTAAGGGTACATTTCAAACGTTTAGAATTGATCTATGAGGGTGATCGATGCCTGTGGGTCAGACAATCATATTTCGCTGATTGTTTGCATTGTTAAATCGTCAGAGAAACGAGACCCGTATTGTGTTCTGTATTTGCCCCTACAACATGCAAAACCCCCTTTTAAGAACCGCGACTTCGTAAACGACCACCTTCTCATTGAGACCTGCGCTCTTTGGCAGAGACATTCATTTAGCCGGCTTAAGCCGTTTAGACACGGTGAGCACTTGAATGTGGCGTCAATTATGATACTTTGGCCGCAGTCACGTACAGTGCGAGAGCGAACGTAATCAACGACGCCTACTTTGCTGTGCAAGGACGCTACCCTGCCATCCTGGGCAGCGATCCAAAAATAGAGCGACGCCGCAGCGTTCGCCGTCCCGCTGGTGCGGGACGACCTGGACGCCGCGCCACGTCGCAGCATTCGCCTCGCCGCTCGCGCGGCGAGGCTAAACGCTGCGCGCGCTTCGCGCGCGAGGCAAGGGGAGGTGATCCCCGGGGTGCCGCCTCATCCACTGTGAGGCGGCAGTTGGTCGTGTGGCAATCAACCACCTTCTACATAAACGGCGCTTAGTACTCTGCGCGGGCCTGCTCGACACATTCTCTCTCCGTTGAGAGGGCGCAAAGAAAACGATAAAGGGGATGCGAGCACACGCTTTAAGCGCGTCAATACGTCGCGCATTGTACGTGACTACAGCAGGAACATCATAATGCACGCTCATTCAGGTGCTCACCGTGTCCAAACGGCTTAAGGTCATTTTCTTGCACATGATTATTTATCAGCGCAAAACAGAAAACCCAGAGGGGCACAAAAAAGGGATTAGCAGAATGAGCCTAGTTTTGTCTCATACGCATCAATTGTGATAGGGTGATCAAGCAACATTACGAGAACCTGCATATTGCAAAAGCGTTCCATAACGACTGACTTCAAATTTCATGAGCACCTCTTACACCGGACAGAAAATCTGTTATGCTGTCAAGCAAACACAAAACTGAAGCAGTTATTGAATGAATATCACCAGTCATAACTAAGGAAAAAGAATAAATTCCGACGTACTTGCCACACAAGGCGTTGACAAAAGATGTTTTACCTACGCTCTCTCCACCCAACGATTTTCGTAGATAACATCTGACAAATCTGGCAATACGCTTTTAATAGTATTTTATGTAGAGAATCAGAAACAAATCGAATAAAAGCCTATCGCTCACCAGCAAAAGAAAATCCAAATATTTTGTATAAAACGCTGTAGCTCAATCTTTACGTGCTATTAAGGGCTGTCTCTTGAAACTTCAAGGCAAAGAGAGCACGAGGCGCACTCGAAAATGCCAACGTCAACGATTTTCTGGACCTAAAATACAGCCATAGATCAAAGATACATGAGATGCTCGAAACAGAACTCATTTTTACGCACCTCTTCAGAAGTAATGTTATTATAGTAATCACCACAACGGCAAGACTCAAAAATCGGGTCTGATTCTTCGAAATCTGATCTCTAGTTTCGCTCCGCAAAAAACGGTTCCGTTTTTTTTCTTTCCGATATTGTTGCTCCCTGAGCCAGCAGTCGTACTCGCGACGTTTGTTCGAATCCTGCGACATGTCACTTATTGTGTGTACATTTACCCCCTGTTTCAGAAAAGTAGAAGCGCGCCATATTCTGACTACACGCTACAAGAGACAGCGGCCTACTAGTAAGTTTGGTAATTAGTGATTCATAGTAACAGCTGATAGTGGATAAATTTGCTGTGATTAGCTACAACTGATCAAATAAAAATGCAACTGATTAATCATTCCACTGGCACAAAATATCTACATTTTGTGGAGCCAACGTCAGTTGTGGCGTAAGGTCTGCACTCGACGCGCTTCTGGTTTTCTGGAACATATGTTATGTATAGTATACATATACATACACATGTATACATTATATGGTATAAAATTGCATGTTGTATTACTAATTACTAATCTCGAGAACACTTATTACGCAAAAAATACCTTCAGTGTCGTCCAGATAAAAGTAGCAGAATTGACAGATTCTTCACTATTAGCAACACCAGCGGACTTGTCGGGATGAATTCTTCTCAGGTAGTTGAAATATGCACGCTTGACTTCTTCAGCACTAGCGCATGCACTTATTTCTAGAATATCGTAAAAACTACGCATAGTCCATTACCTACAACGAAAGCCATAAAGGGACTTCTTGAAAGTATTTCTATTATATTCCATTCCTTAGACATCCGTACTCCAGCGGCCGACAAATAAGGAAAGAGCTATTATTAAAAACAATGAATCAGGTACTGTGGCGAGCACAGGAAATTTCAGTATCGTCCAACGCCTATGAAACAGTAACACTCGTGTAGCTCTCACAATCTGAATTTTTTATCCGCTTGTGACATCACGATTACTGCATTACAAAACAACACTATTCAGAACAATGTGCCAACTACCGGGAACAATCACTATTGCATAATAAAAAAAGGTAGAGATCGGACGAAGTGTACTCCACTATCTTCACTATATACAACTAAGTGCCTTAAAAATACAAACATCTGCTCAACAGCAACAGTTTTAACCGAATCTAAGCAGGCACTATCGCAAATAAAACCTATGTAAAGGAAGGGAAAAGGGTATCTTTGCATCGTAAAAAAATAGAAAAGAGACAAGTCAATCAACCATTTCAAGACTGCATAGAGGCACAGCTGGTTTGATTGGGTATCGGTCTTGTTCTTCACGGTAAGGGCATACTACATGATGACTGCTATTGCTCGATTCATTAGCAGAACGATCACGGTGCAGAACAACTTTGTAGCTGACCTGAAAACTGCAGACTGAGATCAGAATGAAGGCAGAAGAACATCAATCAGAAAAACGCCCCATGGTGCCTCTTGCTGATACATTAAAAGAAGCATTTTCGAACACAACCAGCTGCGAAGCTACATAAACACAACGGAAGGCAGCTAACTTGAAATCTTGAAAGACGCGTTCCTTCTTCCCTCTCTACCAACTTTTTCTTTCTTTGCAACGTATTCGACATACTTTATGGATGGCCAGTTTTAGCCTGGGGATTATTGAGGACTTAATGCCTAACTTTCCGAAGATCAAACATGATCGAAACTCGGGTTGTCTAGCGATTTGTCCCGGAGAGCACTGCATCTTCAATTCATATTACATATTCTGAGGCGGAAAGGCGACCTTCATCGATCAACTCAAACGACTGAATTATAGAAATCTCTCTTCAATGAAGTTTGAACTTCTGAGGGCGAAATGGAAACATGAATTAGTTCTAAGCAACCTTGTTTCAGGCAGAAGTGATATTTTAGTCAACAAAAGACCGGCTCTAGTTCGCTTCTTCGTATCTCGACAAAGAAGCAGGCTAGACACATTTGAAGGGCCATAAAAACAGTTTTTCAGATACAGAATCAGTTTCGCAGCGAACAAATGTGGCGTTGATGTTCAGAAGCATAAACCATTCTGAGGCAGAATTCCAGTCGAGTCGACTCGCTTTTTAGTTGCAAAAAAATCAAATCCTGCTTTCAAAATTCATATAGACGGATAACTCCGAAAGGATAAATTATTTCCCTACCCTTCATAAAGCTCAGATTGAATTGATCATGTATCGAAACCAGCAACCTTATAAATTCCTGCTTCCTAGTCTTGGAACTATAGCATTGAAAGGCAACAAATGTTGACGCATTGCAAAAAAATTACATTGAGGTTTAGAAGCCTGCGCCATTTGTTGTAAGACAAACAAAAAATGACAAAATAATACTTAAATTGTGGCCTACTCACATTAGCATATTGCTTCAAGCAAGGACACGCGTCCAGAAGAGCCGTGCAGAAAGGTTGACGAAGTCCAAACCACCAAACGTTGCCGCCTCCGTGGACACATGACATGAGGACAAGACAGAGTAAGGAAACAAGAAGAGGGGAAAAGACGGCCTGCAATAAAATGAAAATATAGAGGTGATAATACTGATTTGGCACTATTCAACTATTACAACCCCAAAATCTCAAAATTTTATTTTTCGTCGAAACTTCCTCTATAGGGGTAATTCGGTGCCCTGATTACGAAAATGACATTCATTTTTGGCGGTGGCGCCATCTGGCGCCAGTTGGCGCCACCTTGTCACGACACATGTTTTCACCAAATTCGGTGTAAAGTTCTGTATAGGGGTTATTTGATGTCCTGATTACGAATATGACATTCGTTTTTGACATTACCGCTGTTTACCGCATACTTCCCGCTTTTCTGGGCTCTCTCACCTATACATAGCGCCTTGGGACTAAGCTTAGGGGATAGGGAGACTCGGAATGAGTGAATCAGGCACCGTGTGACGAAGATGGAGCGTGTGAGATCACAGGGTAGGGGCTCACTCACTGATATCTTTCCTCCTAAAGCTTAGTCCTGATCGCGATCTAGTCACTAGGAGCGCAGACGAAGAGATTAAGCGCTAAATGGTGGATGTCAGACTTTGCGATTGGAGCGATTTTGCACCAATTGCAGGAGCGACGGATCGCTCAAGCGATGCGAGCGACGGGAGATTTACCTGATGGCGCCGAATTATCGGTGGTCGGCGGTGTAAATCTCCCGTCGCTCGCATCGCTCAAGCGATCCGTCGCTCCTGCAATTGGTGCAAAATCGCTCCAATCGCAAAGTCTGACATCGGCCATCAGATTAGCGGTATTAGTGGGTGTATCAGTGAAGATCTCATAAGAAACTGCTAAAAGACTATACGATTCATTGGTGCTCTGTATAATGAGGACGTGGGCGAGTTTACAGGTACATGTGGTAGATATAGAAGATAATCTCTAATGAAAATGTAACGATAACGACAACACTAACAATTGCAGCACGCTGCCGTAACCATCCAGCACTGCCAATTGGTGGGTTTCCACCCAACAACTGACGAGGGTGGCGTACGAAACAAAATCCAGTATCGCACCTTCGCGAAAGCGCCCCTCATCGCCGCATGAACAAATCTCTTAACTTCCATTTACCAATCTTTGCTTGCATGAACGTATGGGATATTCGTGACCAATGCTGTTAAGAGATGCCTTTTGGAAAAAAGGATAAGGCATACAGCGTTGATCGAATTCATAATGATGAGCAATTGAAACTCTATTGATATTTTTTACCTCAAGATTTATGAAAGTTTTCTTACATTCCTGATTAGATCCACAACAATAACTTGAATTCAGTTGAAATTGTTTTTCAAGTTCACAAGTGTTATTACCTTATGAATAAATACGCAACAGTTACTTCAACTGCAGTTAACACGTTGACGACATCGCACGTTCGCAAAGCGTGGCCGCGTTCAATGTCGTCAATGTGTTAAAACACGACATGCTTGCCGAAGAACGATTAGTTTTGAAAAAAAAAACGAAAAAAGTTTGCTGACTAACTGTATAGGACATATCAGCAGCAGGATCATTGTCACCCCATTCTGTTGCATCCAATTTCCCAGTCAACAGTACCATACAAATAAGAGTTGGTACTACGAGACAGGCATGGAAAAGAGCTGAAGTGACGTGCTGCCTCCGATGCGAAGGAACCAGGTGGCGCGAACGAGCTAACACAATAGAAAGGACGAGGGCATATAGTACCCCAACTGCAGACAGTGACAACACCACCCACAATGGAATGAAGACCACAGCCCATGACCAGTCTACCTGCAAAAATGTAAAAGATATCCAGCAATCACATCAAAAACATAGAAAAAGCTCACTAAATCATCCAATTTGAAGGCAAGGAAAAACAGCTGCACTATGTTGATTGCAAAGAATAATTCGAACTGAAAAAAAACTTTAGTGAAGAGACATGTCAGACAAGCAAAAATGAGACTCACCTCAAACGATTTGTCTCTTCGCATCGCCCACACTACGAGGCCAATAGAAGCAATTGATAATGCAAATAACGGTGAGAAGACAATTATCCAGTGAAGTTCAAGGTTGTTTCGGAAGAACGCAGACAGCTCCAACTACAAATAGAAAAGCGTTAGTGGTACCAGGAGCATATCACATGAATTACTTTGAGCAATCGTGTGATGGACACAGTGCATCACCGTTTTGTGACCATGACTGGAATGCACTCATGGCCCACGATGTGAGAATCGTTTTTTTTTTCTGAAGGAAAAAACCGAAGATGTCGACTTTTCTTGTGAAGCAGTTCAGTAGCAGCCTCTTTTTTTGTCAACTTCTAACAAAAAAAAATAAGCGCCGGCAAGCGAAATGGCCGAGACCCTCAAAATAACCGAATGATTCACTTTAGCCGTTCACAACTTTTTTCTTGCTCAAGTCCCCAATACATATTTCTAATTCCTGCAGTGCTTCTAACAACCTCATCACCTTTACCATACGATAACAATTAAATCCACTTGTGAATACACATATGTAAACACTGTGAGTAGGATATATTTATAGCACTCCCATATTATTTTTTGAAATAAATGGAATATTCCAATCAAGGAAAAGGCACGACGCAATGGGTGGGCGCCGCTTCACCTTTATTGAACGAGTAATTCATTATTTATCAACAAACTTGCCCGCAATGGTAAAAGTGCTGTTCTCTGTGCCCAAAAAATACGACTAGAATATTTAGGATCTTGAGCAAGTTGTACAAAACGACATAAACCACATGCTAATTCACGTAGTGCTAGTGGTCCGTATAAGCAAAATTAGGTTAGGATTTCGTCTAGAAAACCCAACGAATTTTGGAGAGAAAGCATGGACGTAAACAGCAAACAAAAGGGAATAATTCAACAAATAAAATTAAATCAGCACACAAACCTTACAATAAGTCAACAGAGCAAAAATGAATAGGAATGAATGCTCTACTGTTGTCAACTGCATAGCTGTGAAATCCACGCGGAGGGCAACGTCATTTCTAAAAAAATTTCGTTGTTAAAGTGGCAACTAAATGAATAGTGGTAGCATTTTTGTTGCAAACTACCGATGACAGCTTGTACAATTTGTTTATGTTCAATATTACTACGTACTGCAAACGGTTTCTATTTTGATTTCACCCGCCAACTTATTCATGCCTCCCTTGACCCCTGTGGCTTCCAGTATAAAATCAGCAACATTATAATAAACCTACTGTGACGGTGGTCTGGACAGAAAGGACACCACTCCAATCAGTGCGCCGATAAAGATCAGAAAATTGTAGATCCATATTGGAAGAAATACGATAGCATAGCCCACTTGGATTTTTCCGTCCAACTTCAGGGAAAGAAGAAGGACGAAAAAGAGGAGACAAAAGTATGTCACAAATTTGCTGAAAAATGTGTAATCACGCACATATGAAACGAACATGTTCTAAGTTTGCGGGTGACCACACCACAAAACCGTCAGAGAATCAACCAACATTTCCTGGAGCGTTTACCACGCTAGCGCGACATATCAATTTAGCAAGTAGCTATGACTGTAACCCTACAATGGCTTAAGGCTGGTGTCAGAGTCCGCGATTCTTTGCGCGATTTTCGCGAAACCTGCGATGGATCACAGGAGTTGGAAGTGCCCGATGAATACTGCGAGGTGTTGTTTAATCCTGCTGCGAATTCTGCTTGGCAGTAAAGATTGGAAGACGAATGTTTGTGGTTCTACTTGTTTCATGTTCAATGTCTATTAGTTCATTGAAATGCTCTTGAATCGTTCCTTTTTTTTTTTCAGGAATCAAACCAAACCAATCACAAAAAATTGCAAGTGCCCCATTTGAACAATTGAAACACTGGATATGAAACAAGTGGAATCATGAGCAGTCTCCATTCAACCATCACCATCAAGCAGAAGTGGCGGCGGGATTGGAGAACACCTTGCAGTATTGATCGGGCACTTGTGATTTCCGTGACCCGTCGCGCAAATCGCGAAATCGCGAAAGCGAATCGCGGACTCTGACATCAGCCTTAGGCATTTCTCATGGAAGCCTCCAACTCATTACACATTACTGAGAGAACAGCGCAAAATTTCCGGTACAAAACGTTGGATTATAAGGCAGGTGTCAGAATTTGCGATCATCCCCTAGCGGACTGCTCGCCAAGTCTAAGGCTGGTGTCAGAGTCCGCGATCCGTCGCAGGTTTTGCTTATTTTCGCGACTTGCCCGATTCGCGCGATTTCCGTGACGGGTAACGGAATATGTTCAAATGGGGCACTTGCGATTTTGCGATCCGTCGCAGGTTTTGTAAAAATCGCAAAAAGCGGGCAAATCGCGCAAATCGCGACAATCGCGTGAATCGCGCAAGTCACGAAAATCAGCGGAATCTGCGCCGGATCCCGGACTCTGACACCCTAACACCTGCCTAAATTGAACCACTTCATACGTCAGAATATTTTTCATACTCCAGTTCTAATGCTAGGATATATAGCGAACTCTACGTATGGAGCACAGTCACTAGGCAATTCAAAAAAGAAAAGAATAATATATAAACTAAGCGGAAACTATTAACGGGACAAATCACATACCATGCGTTGAATCCTCTGAAAAGAAATCCCAGACTTAATTCAAACATGAGTGTCGGACTCGGCTAATGCACTGAAATCAAACGCAGTAGTTCTTGGTATATACGAGTGTGATTCGCTAGGATAGAAATCTACTTCTTCGCTTTCAACAGTGTAGAATATTCCGCTGCGGAAACCACAGATCCATCTTTGATCATGGCTGTACCTGAGGTTTCCGCAGCGAGAAATGTTCCGTGCTGCTGAACGTGAAAAAGAGAACGTGAAGAAGTGAAGGGAAAAGTTACATTCTAGTATTTATTCCTAGTTACATCCCAGTCCTAGTACATCCATCCATAGTGGATCATACTCCGTACATACGGAAGAAGCAAAATGAAGTAGATTAGAGAATTGGCACCAATTCACCAAGTGTCAGTCTATTAAGCGAAATCCAGCGGTGAGCACAATTTGACTATTTGATCAACTAAGCCCCAAAAAGAATTTTATTTCGCCTGCAAGGGTAACCTGGCGCCCTGCAACAAACTAACCTCAGAAAAGTGCATCTAACTGTGTTGTATGTCTCCGTTATTAATATAAATATAACTCAACACAGCAGATTCTTTAAAGTTGAAGAGCTTCGTGAACAAAACACCTGCAAGAAAATATCAATAGATCGAATGAGAGAGGAAATCCCATAGCTAATTTCACTTTCACCAGATAT